CTCACTTTCATCTTCTTCCTCAGCGAGACTCTCTTCTTCACCTCCCTCTTCCTTTCTCTCTGTCTCACTATCCTTCACATGTTCCTCTTCCTCTATTTTTCCATCACCACTCAACCACTCACTGTTTTCATTTGAAAGCTTGTTTTGTACATCTTGTGTGCTCTGCTGTTTGATTATGCTGTCATCTGTTTCCTCGATTGCTGATATGTCCTGAACTGTACTGTCTTGGTCCACTTCCGTTTCTAGCAATACATTGTTTCATTGGACACTGATGCATGTGAGGACATCTCACTACTTGATTCTGATGGGGTTTGAGAAAGAACTTCAGCTGCTTTTATCAGAGGTTCAGCACTTGCTATAGCCAAGGCTGGTAGTGATGAAACTACACTACCCATAATGCTCTGCTCAGCCTGAGGCTTCCTGTCTGGCTTTCCAGGTTCAACTGTTTTTCTGGCTAATTTATTTTCTTTTAGTGGTGACTGCTTGTTTTGTGGTGATGAACTCGATGGACTTAATTTACTAGATGATGATTCAGTTTCTTTTGTGGCAGAAGATTTATTGGTTGCTGATTGGTTATTGGACCATAAACTGGAAAATGAGTGGCCTCTTTCTGGAGCTAAGCTTTTAATAGATGGAAATTCATGTTTCTGTTCAGTAAGCACTTTATTAGTGGGCGACTGGCTATTTTTATGATCAGACTGTAAGTTGGAAGCTGATTGTCTTTTTTCTGCAGTTCCTCCTGATTTTCGTTTTTTATTGGGGGAAATTAGTTCTGAGGTATTTTACTATCATTTTCCCTTTTGACTTCTGTTGTTTCTTGTGCTAGCATTGCTGGTTTAAGCTGGAAGTTTGTGTTCTCGGACTCCACAGGATTTCCCTTTTTTGCTTTAGATATTCGTGTGGGTATGGAAACTGATAGAGGGTCGAGTGTTTTGGGTGCAGTTTCTGACATCGGGGCTCTTTCCACATCTGATCTCTTCTTTTTTGCTTTCTTTGGTGTAAGTTCACTTGGGCTTTCTTCTGCGTCAACATCATTCTTTTCTTTACCTTTTTTTGGGGTGCTTTGCATTTTAGCTGGAATTTTGACTGGTTTCCCACTTTCTTACTGGTTTGAGTTTCCCTGTTCTTGTGTGTCGATCAGTGTTGATCTGACCTCTTGAGCATTTCTAAGGGATGGCTTGATGTCTCTTTGAGCATCTGCCTGAGGTGTTAATTCAACTTTGCTAACCTCTATGGCACCGGAGGGCACATCTTGAACCTTGACTGGTGACTTGACCCTTTTTGTAACTCTTACTTGAATACCCATCTCTTTGATTTTGGGAGATTTGACCTCTTGAACTTTTGTGGGCGTTGTTCTAACTTGTTCAACTTCCTGAACTGGAGAACTTCTGGAGAAAGTCTTTTGAATATCAATTGGACTTGACTTGGTCTCCTGCTCCATCTCAACAAGAGCAGTGACCTCTTGACCTCTGGAATCTGCGTGTTGAACTTTACTATATTTGTCTACTTTTTAAATCTTGTCCCTTGGATCAATATTAGTACTGCATGTTTCACTGCTTCCCTCTTTTTCCTTAGCTGACATTCTATCTGAAGATAATCTGACCTCTACTGCTTGACTTTTAGATTTATTATTTGTACTCTGGATAGGTTTTTGTATGTTTTGGATTGCATTTTGCTTCGTGATGCTGTAGCAGAAGAATGTTCCTCCGCCATGGCAGAATTCTTTGGATCTCCGGACCTGGGCTTCTTGCGTTTTAGATTACTTGGTGGTGGAGATTCTGTCACTGATGAATGAGAAACAGAACTGTATTCACAAGAAAGACAGCTGGTCAATACTGACAATCAAGTGTTTGTTTTTTGTTAGTGTTCACTATACTAAAAGTAATTGTGGTAAGAGATATTTAAATCATAGATAGACAGATAATAGACTGATGGAGAGGCAGGACTTGGGAGAACATAGAAAATTAAAAAAATATGAAAATATTTACATGGAGATGTCCTGGCTGGCAGTGTGATTGAGGTAGAAGCAGATTCCACAGAGGCATCAGTTTTGAAGCGTTTGGGAGTGTTGGCAGTTGTAGGAGGAGGAAGATTGCAAAATTCTGGGCCAAACTGTGCAGATGAGCTCTCCTGAAACACACACACACAAAACATATTTCCACACATTTTTTTTCTATTACGAATGTCACACACAATTATATAATATTTTCATACTTTTGCACAAATAATTAATTTAAATATACAGCTTGATTGGAAATGACACATAAAAGTGAGTTAATAAAAACATAATTAACATTTAAGACAAATGATGAGAGAAAAAAGGAAAAGAAAGATAATTGTATGTGTATGATATCATATGGTGTGCATTCAGTGTATTTGGAAACGTATTTGCATTTGTCACTGCATTAGATAACAACATATCAAGGTTTCAATTTCAGTTTTAAATCACACTTGGTTTGATATTTTGTTATCTAATAGATAATAAAATGTATTTAATGGATTGACATTCATGCAACTGAAGTGTCCAAATGTTTTTAGGACACTGTCGTGTATATTTACATCACCTGTAAGGGCTAGCGTGTGCTTGCCACCACATGCCACCTGCAGAACCCCGTGCAGAGATTGTACTCGCTGAGGGTGACTGTGGTTGGCCAGCTGATGAGCAGAAAGACCCAGTCGTCCATCTGCACTTTCCCCGAAAGTGAAAACATCCCCATTATCTGAAACATACAAAATTCCCAACAATTTATTTAGTCGGGCGTTAAAGTACTTCCTCAAAAATAAATAACAGCATGGTTCTCATGTTCATGTTTGTGAATACTGTTGATTGACAAACGCTCACCTGTGACCAGAGCTGAGTGTCTGTATCCACATGAGACCCACTGAATGGGCTGCCCCAATTTCAGCTCTTTAGGCAATAGAGAGCAATTTAGAGCATAGTCACAAAAGGTGTGGAGCCGCTGGAAAGAAATGCTGTCATTACAGTGGCCCAGTCCCAACTGACCATCACTATTTCCTCCAGCTGCAAAAATTTCCAATTTTGCTGGAGAAACCCCACAGATATTTTCACTTAGGGTTAGGTGAAATCTTACTTAATCTTCATCTTACTCATAATTCTGTGACAAACTGCTATTATTCAAAGGTTCAAAATTTTGGGGTCAGTAAGACTTTTTTTTCCTTTAAAGAAATTAATAATTGTATTTAGCAAGGACTAATTAAATTACAGTAACAGTGACAGTAAAGACATTTATAATGTTACAAAGGTTTTGTACTCCAAGTGCTTTTGAACTTTTAATCAAATAATTCTGAAAAAAATGTATCATGGTTTCCACAAAAATATTAAGCAGCACAACTGTTTTTAACATGGGTTATAATTAGAAATAAGATGTATTTAAAAACATTAAAACATCTTACCAACCACACAAATTTGGTAGTTGTTACAGCAGCATGAAATTTGTCTCTGAATTAAAAGCTTTACTTACAAGTGCTGACGAGATCAGTCCCACAGGCAACAAACTGAGCTCTCTCCCCTTTAAGAGCTGTATGGACGAATAAGAAGGTAAATAATAAAAACGAGCATGATCTTTATAAAACAACATGCATCTCACCTTTAACACAGATCGGTTTATTCACTGGTCCTTTGGTTTGTAGACCAAGCTGACCCCTGTTATTATTTCCAAACGCAAACATACGGCCCTGCTCTGAAAAGAGATAATTAAAGAGACGTTTATTACAAAATATAGCTACAGTTACAAAATTACAGGGTGAATATAGAGAGATTACAACCTGTTACAAAGGCTGAGTGTGACTGTCCACTTGAGATGTGCATAGGTATATCATTCTTTAGCCATAACCTGCAGGGTACATTGTTTGCTATTTTACTTTTTCCAAAGGTGAATACAGCACCTGTTTCTGCAATAAGGAAACATATGTTCAGTACAACATTTGCCCTCAGTCACATTTGTTCACATGGAGCAAAGAGCAAACCTCCACACAAGCTCAGCAAGACGGTCCATTTAAAGGGGTCATATGATGTTGCTAAAAAGAACATTATTTTGTGTATTTGGTGTAATGAAATGTGTTTATGTGGTTTAAGGTTAAAAAAAACACATTATTTTCCACATACTGTACATTATTGTTTCTTCTCTATGCCCCGCCTTTCTGAAACGCATCGATTTTTACAAAGCTCAACGTTCTGAAAAGCGAGGTGTGCTGTGATTGGCCAGCTATCCAGTGCGTACTTACAGTCTGTGAGTCAGAACAGCCGGTCGGCGGCCTAGAGTGAGAGGAGGCCGGTGAGCTTGAGAACAGCGCGGCCGGCAGATTCGACGAAGGAGCGTCCGGAGGGCTTGCGGCTCATATGACCCCTTTAAATCCTTAGAAAGCTTCCAGCTTCCCAGAATAGCCTGTGTGGAGCTCAAAGACATGATTATAGTGTCACACACTGGGAGTCTTACAAGAACATGCTTGTAAAATACACATACCTACATAGATAGATAGATAGATAGATAGATAGATCGCTTCAAAAAGGCACAGCTTACCTGGTATTTCTGTCTGTTTCTCCTGTCATCACCTCCTACACCTCTGTTCTGCAGATGACATTCCTGAACTGTCAGCTGTTCCCTGCTGAAGAGTTGCAGTTCAACCGGAAGTAAACGTTACCCTGGCAACCGAGAAAAAAAAAGAAAATTCAGAGTTTGCTCTTTGTGTAACTTTACAGTTATTAATGAAGAAAATAAATATTATATTAACGGAATATTTTAACTAAGGTGTAGAGAGAGAGAGAGAGAGAGAGTGAGAGAGTTTCTCACACGATGGCCAGGGTCTGTGGAAGCGGGTGAGATCATGGGTGGGATAAAATAGTACGTGCACTAGAGCTGTCACTCACCACGCAGTTACTTGTCCCGCCCCCTTTTCATCCCGTTAGTCACGCCCCTAATGCAGCATGACAGTTAGTGCGTGGAAATGATTTGATTTGGTTGTGCCGCTTTGAGCTCTGTATGTATACTCAAAGTCCCTTTAAGGTATTTTATAGTCTTTGGTATACTTACATCAGTAAAATCTTTGCTTTCAAAAACAGAATATATTATAGTCTGAAATTTGCAAATTGTTGCCAAAGCAAGAATTTTAGGTTAGTCGGAAATTTTGCCATAAAAGTTTGCTGCTGGCTAAAATTTTGAGTGACATTGTATAATACATTTCATTAACAATATTAATTATTACGTTGCATAATGCTTAACACAGAATTAATTAGTTACATAGTCCTGAATGTAATGAAAGTTACCGTCAGACTCGCTGGTCTGTGTTTTGCTCCTCATGTGCCTTCCTTGCCCGTATTTGGTCCTTCCTGTTCCTGTCCTCATTGTGTGTATTCCTCTCCAGCTGTGTTTTGATTAATTAGTTCATTTGCTCCCAGGTGTGTCGCATTGGTGTCTGTGTATTTAAAGGGTTCCCAGTTCTCTGTCTGCTGTTAAGTGTCATTTTGGTTTGCCTGGGGCAAGTTCAAGCTCATACCGGTGCGCAACGTTTTGCTACGGTTTCCGGTTTGAACGACATGTTTCCTGGAAACGGTGTGCAACGGGGTTTGATATGCGTTTTCTCTTGTTTGGTGGGTGTGTCAAACATGTCAGCCCAATCAGCAGCAGCATGTATATAAACCACGCGGTATTAAAGAGACAGCTCGCACAATGTAATTAACATCAAAATAAATTCACAAGAGCAAGTATATTGTTTGCACATGCTTATTTACATTAAAGGCAAAATAACTGAAATAATAAGAGCACAAGTATAGATCTGGAACTTCTTTAAGTCTGTCTAAATATCATTTGGTAATTACAATGTCTTCTGGTCCATATCCTTTCCTTAGGAAGGTGTGCTAGACACTGATTAATGTAACATAAAAATGCTATACATATTTATATATTTTGCTATTGTATTGTGAAGTGACATTTTCATAAACTTTTCTATACTCCTGATTATATAATGGTAAATATTACAATAACATAGCACAACAACAGTGATCAGCAATAATGATAAGCCGAATACTCACAATAAAAATAATAAGGCCATATAGATCATAACACAGTCTCAGCACAGGGTGTGTGTGTGTGTGTGACCGTTACAAACTGATCAGTTAAGCATAAAAAAATGTGACTTTCAATTAATACATTTTAATTAATAAAAGAGTAGTTGGCTAATAACATGGACATTTTTAACATAACACACTTAAAACATTTAAAATTTTTGTTCAATTTTTATTTTGTAATTAAGGAGCGTTTATTCTTTAGACTTCTTTTTTTAATTTTTTAACCATTTTAAATAATCTTTGTGCTTGGAAAATATTTTGAATATATACTATATTCTTTCAATTTATAAAGTCATAAAATCTGCTTTTAGAATAATTTAAAAATGTTGTTTAATTTTATTTTATTTACTATTTTTATGAAGTGTATTTGAGTTTTTTTATTATTTTTTTTATTTTTTATTATTATGCTCAAGTAATTTGTAATAATAAAACACACCCAAGGTTCGCCTCTTTTAGATCTGTTTTATGCATACACAACTATTCAAATGTTGTTTTTAAAAGAAATTAATACTTTTATTCAACAAGGAAACATTAATTTTATTAAAAGTGAAAGATATTCATGTTACAACAGATTTCTATTTTTAAAAAATGCTGTGCAGTGAGCTTTCTATTCATCAAAGAATCATGAAAAAATTATCACAGTTTCCACGATAATATCAAGCAGCACAACTATTTTCATTATCGATAATAATAAGAATAGAATAGAATTATTTCAGAAGGATCGTGTGACACTGATAACTGGAGTAATGGCTGCTGCAAATTCAGCTTTGCCATTACAGGACTAAATTACATTTTAAAATATATGAACGTTTATTTAAATTGTAATAATATTTCACAATATTACTGTTTTTCCCCTGCATTTTTGATCAAATAAATGCAGCCTTGGTGAGCATAAGAGATTTCTCAAAAAAAAAAAAAAAAAAACACATTACAAAATCTTACAGCTTTGCACCACTCCAAAATGTTGTTCATTTCAAGATTTTACTTAAATTAACCTTTTGTCTTTAGGGTTATGAGGCAGATGCTAATGTCACTCAAGAGGCTCAGCTTCTGTCTAAGCAGGTATAGACTAAGAAGTCATGATCAGCTTTACTCATACTCATAATAATCTACAATATAATTAAGCATTTTGTTTGCTTTACCTACCATGCATTTGCATTATATGTTTGACTATGTATGTGAAATGGCTCTGTCTTTAATAATTGTCTTTAACAACACAATAAATCTTGACATCATTTTTTTTTTGTTTTTTTTTATGATCACTAACTCATTTACAATATGCAGTGTTTACCTAATTATGATATTCATGCTGTAGCTTGGTACCAAGTTGCAATTCCTGACGGATCCAATGGAAGCAGCACGGGACAGTAGTGCAGTAGTGTGCTGGTTACTGACACTTGGGTGAGCATGGGCCAAGAGGAGGAGAAGAAGAAGAGGAGACTAAAAGATTTCCATGGTTACCAGATCATCATGCAGGTAGAGAAATGTCCATCAACTTTTTCTGGTCTGATCCAGTCTATTTTTAAATAGACATACTTTTAATTCCATTTTGGTAAGTTTTATGTTTCTGTTGACTAGTTGACAGACAGGAAGTGTGGCTGCACCAGACTGGACATTTCTGCACTGTCTCCCATGTAAAGCAGAGGAAGTAGACGATGAAGCTTTCTACTCACCACGTTCCCTTGTGTTCACAGAGGCTGAGAACCGCAAGTGGACCTTTATGGTAAAGTGTATGTGTAAACATGTGAGTATCATTAATGCATTTAATGCAGAAAGTAATAGTTTCTGTATGTTTTCTCCAGGGTTTGATGTGCATCCTGACAGACTATACGCCACAAAGTCCCAAACTCAAATTTAAAAAAAATGTGGGGGGAAAACACTAACAACAGAATAGTGTCATCTATCTGTTTTTATGATAAAATTGTAATTGATCATATTTAGCACTCTTGGCCAATGGGGGGTTTAAGAAAGAAATAAGAAATACAGAAATAAACAATTGTATTAAATTCATGAATCCTTTGATTTAATGTGTGAAAAATACTTTTTACAACATTAAATTATTTAAATATTTCAGTGATGCAAATACCTTTAAGACCTATAGAGGGTGCTGTGACATTTTGAGAAATACTATGGTATCATATTTGATATATTCAGACGTCTTTAAATTACAAGGGGTTGGATGGACACTGCATTTAAGTTTTCAAAACAGAAATGAGTTGCAAAATGCACTCAGCAAAAACAACAACAATACATCTCATTTTCAGTCTCTGTATAACTGTCACTGTGTCTCTTAAGGTTTCTATGTAATTATGGGATTTGGCATTTATGTCACCTCAAATCACTTATAAACATTTTACATAACAGATAACTCTTTAAGTCATCCCTTGCATGTCTAACTCTGCAGGGCAACAATACAGTCCAGCAGTGCAAGGTGATTTAGAGTGAATAGGTGGATATGTGTGGGCATGCATTTAAAACCACCATGGTATTTTGATGTTATGGCCAGGCTACTGATCATTTCTTTATAAGATATGCATGTGTTTTATCATGAATGTGGGGTCAGTAGGCATGCTTTCATTTTTTTAGTTTCACTGTGGCCTTTCAATGTCTTGACTGCTGCCTTGTAAGCAGTATCAGATCAGAGTGAGATCAGACTGATAAGCATAACAGTCAAAGGATGTTTAGGCTGGGACATTTTTAGACTGTGAGTAAAACTATCAACAATTGAATTAGGTGAAGGCACACTGCAAGAAAAAGAGACAATGTTATTGTACAAAGAAATCACGTTCGCAAAGCGTACATTTAAATAGTAAAAGAGAACAAGTAATTCTCAGGGTGAGGCAGAGAAGAACCTAGAACAAGGGTGGAGATTAAAAGCAGAGTAGAAGAACAGGTTTCTAAACCATCCGAGACATTATCGTCATTGCAAAGGTGTTTCGGCTTCCCTTTCTATGACTTGGTATGTAAAAAGATTTAAACTGAAACCTTGTTATGATCTTATCTCGTCTAAACATTATTTGACCCTCTTCAGTTGTGACCTTATTAGGCCTGTGTGTGTTTTCATTTTTGTACATATTGAATTGGGTTTTAGACGTGATTGCAATATAGAAAGACAAATAAGAAATAAAACATTGTAAATTTTTAACTATCATAACTATCACGTTAGTAGTAGATTGAAAGCAGTTTGAAATCTGCATCTGAATACTTATTTGCGTCCTCTTGTGTTAATTTGTTGAATTGGACAACAAAACAAATCCCCTCTGGGAATTTAGATTAATTCAACAAGCCAGAAGTGACAGTTTCAGAGCATTTTACATAAGCACTTCAATGATTTGAGTAAAAGATTTAAGTCCATAAAAGAGAGGACAGAAACATGCCCCTAAAACCCATTTTAAGGAATAAATAGACATCTTGTCAACTTTTCAACTGTATCAATAGGCACATAAGTTTGGCCCTCAGACCACTGAGCAGGGACGGATTATGACACAGCGGTGCCCTGGGCACAGACCGATTAAAGGCCCCCTTCGGTTGAAATTTCGTTCCTTTTTTATTCAAAATTTTTCAAAACTTGTTAACTGCTATATATCATAAAATATCACGATTCTCAAAAAGAAGTAAATACATTTTGCACCTTTATAGATCATGTTAGTTTATCTATAGCGGACTATAGGAAAAGTAGCCTAATATTAGTGTAATCTATTAACTAGCCTATGCATAAAACCCGTCTTTTAACTTGTACTAGATATGGGTGTCATGTCATAGAATATTTTTAATATGACTGACTTTGTATTTCAAGGTAAATTTAATAAAAACATTTTAAGGTACTAATTATAACACTTTCATTGTACATAAAGAGAGCAAAGAATATTTGCATTATCAAAGAATATTAACTTCAGTCTAGACAGAGTTCAAGCACTCTCATCAACTCCCATTATAATCACTGAAGCTGTTTATACTGTGAAATGAATATCTTACTTACATCGTACACACATCTGCACTTTGTTTATAATGAGATAATTTGCCAGAGAGCAGCATTCAGTCAGCGAGCGCGCGCACTGAACAAAACACGGGCTTTTCAGCGATGACTCATCTGAATGTCTCTGATTGGCCATTGCATTCATAAGCTCAACAGAATCCTGTGTGATTGGTTATAATGCGCAGCACTTTAAAAACGCGTCTGGCTCAGCGCCAGCCAAACAAGGAACGCAGATTTGAATTTGGCAGCTGATGCTGTGCCACACTGAACATTCTAACCGCATCAAATATAAAAAAATTATTATTCAGCCATTTTTGGTCTTTTGGAAGCTGCATTCAAAATCCACTTTGCTTAAAATCCTGAGGGGGCACGGTTGAAATCGCGTTCTTGGAGGAGCAGTATTTCGGCTGGGCCCCCCTCTGGTCTAGTGCCCTGGGCACGTGCCCGGTAGGCCCTTGCATTAATCAGTCCCTGCCACTGAGTTTATAAAAATATATACACAGGTTGTATTTTTCAAGAGGAAATGGTCTTTCTTTTAGGAGACTTAAATGAGTAGTTCCTTTTACATTTCCTTTAAGTATCAGCTTTGCTTAGCTTTGTCTCAGCTTTTAGATGTTCCTTTTGAAAACACATAAAGCAATTGCTGACAGAGTAAGAACATCAAAAAATATACAATGTATGTGGATCATGGCACGGCTCGGATCATTTCGTGTCAGAAATATCTGATGAGAAATGTTTGAAAAGTTCATTTTGAAACCTTTCAATGTTGAGACTTCAGATTTAGTATCTTGGAAAATCTGAGTAAAGCTGTTATTAAGATGTGATTCTCTTTTAAAACAGAAGAGAAAAGTGTAACAAGTCAGAGAGTTAAAGAAAAGTCAAATTTTTCTCTGTATTTGATCTCATTGTCACCTGGAAGAAACAACTGAGATATAATCTCATATCTCATTTGTGATGATAACACTGAAAGTCTTACCTGTTGGGTTCATTCATATTTTGCTTATGTCGCATGGTAATGACTTTAAACATTAATAGGCCAAAATTCATAACAAGCATGCGACTTTTGGCCTCAATGTTACTAATCAGAAAATAATTTAAAGATCAGATTTTGTTAACGAGACTAATGTTATTCAAAATAATTTACCCTTTTAACCTTTATTAATATTATTAGCCTATGACCTACACTTCAGTTACATAGCCATAACACATCTAGGCCTATAAGCAGTACTATTTTTCGTCAGGAGTGAAAATTATTTGAAAATCAAAGTCGTATGTGGTGCTTTTCACATGTTTTTTTTTTTTAATTAAGTTTCTGTGTAATGTAAATTATTATGCAACCAATCGATTAATGCACTTTCGTGCCGCTCCCTGCGTGTCTATGGGCCGTGCAGAGGTTTGTGTCTTGCAGTTGGAATCTGGTTGTGGCCGACCTGACATCCCAGACCGGACCAACAGGTTTCGGTCACGCCCAGGAGCAAAAAAAGTCGGGTATAAATTAAACGTAAGGAATGCAGACCTTCAGAAGGAAACTAAACGCACGAGAGAAAAACATACTACTCTCGAATCAATCCCCATAAAACCACCAAAATGCAGATGTCCGAACCCCTCAGCCAGAAGAACACTCTGTTCACGGCAATGAACCGCTTCATCGGCGCCGTCAACAACATGGATCAGACAGTCATGGTGCCGAGTCTGCTGAGAGATGTGCCGCTGGACCAAGAGAAAGAGCAGCAGAAGCTAACCAACGACCCGGGTATCTATCTGCGGGATGCTGAGGCCGACATGTACAGCTATTACAGCCAGCTCAAGTCCATCCGGAACAACGTCGAGTGGGGCGTCATGCGCGCAGAGGAGCAGAGGCGCAAGAAAGACACTACTGCGCCGGAGCCAGTGCGCACAGAGTCGGAGAGCGACATGGATCTGGAACAGCTCCTGCAGTACCATCTGAAGGGCTTGCATGGGGTGCTGTCCAAACTGACAAGCCAAGCCAACAACCTGACCAACCGATACAAGCAGGAGATTGGCATTGCTGGCTGGGGACAGTGAACTGCTACATCATGATCTATTGGGATATGATGAACTATTCTGATCTAATAGGATCTATTTAGCCTTTGTGGAAGAGCCTACCAAAGGGACTGCCCAAACATAAGTTAAACTGTCAAAAGACAAAATGCAAGGCAAACCGAGAAGGGAAAATGGGTTTGTTGTAGTATTGGTTTTGGTGTTGATCACTGACGTATTGTAAGGGCTGCTTCTTGTCTTATGGCATTTTATTTGCACTGAGTTTCCCCTTTTTTAAAAACAAAATCTCCGTTCAAATGGCTGGTTGTCATGCCTTATCTTGGTATTTAAAACTATTTATGTTATGTATAATTGAAAGCTTTAATTTTTCCATTCTTTTCCATTTTTTGAGAGGAAGGTTGTTGTCCTGTGATGTTGCTGTGTGTTCCAGAGGACTGATGACTTTAAGAACTGAGTGTATGATAGTTTGTATAGTGAGAACTCCTATAGATGAAGCAGAAACCCTGTTGAAAATTACTGGGAATGTTCCCTGCTAATGACCTGAAACTATCTGTGAATCAATGATGTGGATGGCTCGAAAATCACTGTATGTGTCATGCTGAGCTCCATGAGGTTCTGTGTTAAATTGTGCCTAAAGGCCAGTATGATTGTTAAAAACAGTTGCTGTATTTTGTACTGAATTGTTTTTTTTACTACAAAATAAACTATTGTAATTTGAAAACATCTAATGTGTGGTTGTTTATTATTCATCATGCTCAACAATGCATAATACACACACCCTGTCACTGTGACTGTTTTACAAATTAGCTTCACAATACTCTTCATTCCTTAGTGCTTATAAAAGTCCATAATTTAAATAACTTTATTTAAGACTCTTTTCTGAGACTCCCATTCAATTCCCATTTATCCACTATCAATTCCTATTTAGTATTCTCATAAGTATGTTAAGTAAGACCT